AGTAGCCGACGTCTGGAAAACGCTCAGTGAGGAGCAGTAAAGTCACAAGTGCCTCAGAAAAGGGAACGTTAACGTCCATAGTCAAGAGTGCACAGAAGTGGAGGACTCCCACAGCATGACCCATGTCCCCCAACAGCTGTGCTGCTCTCTCTCCCTTCCCACATGGGAATACATGGCATCCAATCTGCTCTTAGTTCTGGTTTGCTGAAACGTGCTTAAGGATAGCCTTGTCTAATTTGGTTGACTGTATCTATAATTTGTTTTCCTCTCTCTAAAATGCAAAGGTTTTCTAAAATCACAACCTCCTTTCTGAAACCTTCTCTACCTCCCCAGGCAAAACCATGTGTGCACCTGCAGCCTTATCCCTGAGTGCCATACAGCAGCACTAACACCCCCAGAATGACGGTGCAGGAACCTCCCCCAGCATCTCAACAGCAGAAACCATCTCTGCAGGGGTCTGGGGAGGGAATGCTTCTCAGAGCCAAAGTCTTACATTATCTGTGATGTCCAGACCCAATTGTGGCAGTGAAGGATTACAGCAAATGTTTCATGTAAAGTGGTTGGTTTATGTCCTTTGTTATTTAATGTGGGCAGAAAATTGTTCACATTTACCCAAAATGCAGGAAGAAGATAATCACCCTTGGACTTGAACTCATTGATCCTAAGAGATAAAATTGTCCTTGAATCATCACTAATAGAGGTATTCGGATAGGAAATATTACAGCAGAAAATTGGGCCACTGCTAAGGAAGGAGGCAGTTTCTCTGGGAATAGTAAAATGTTTGCTTTTTCCATTTTCCAAATCCGGTTACCCTTGGGCTGTGTCTTTGATGTTAATGTAGCTAAACCTCTGGTGAGACTCTCACAATTTTATCAGAAGAAACAGAAACGGAAGGCTGGGCTCTCTTATTGCCAGCCTCCCTAATCGGGAGGAAATTCACAACAGGCTAGTCAAGGGAAACCCAGATTTAAAGCCAGTGTTATTGTTTTTCTCCAGAATGGTGTCTTATGCATCTCCACATCAGCAATACCTCCAAAAGCACATTGCTATTCAAGCTACTATATTTTTACTGGCCTACATTAATATTATGACATTTAAAAGGATTTCATTGCAGCTTGGGATAAGTGATGAGGATGTTTAAAAAAAAAATGCACATAGACACCATGACTCTTGTTTTTCCTGGCTCATTTTAGGGAGGTAAGAAGACAATAGGTCAGGATCTGTCATATTAACTAAGGTCATCTGATGGCACCGTGTGTGCCGGCCCCTTAAATGTTTTTCCTCTGCACATTTATGACCCTGCTCCCATCCATCATACCAGAGGGAAGGGTCTCCATATGGGGCCCCAGGGCCCAGGGAAGATCCCAGGGAGGCAGAAAAGCAGCATCAGATATTATGACTCTTTCCTCCGTTTGGTAGAATTATGGGATTTCTACTTTTCAGCGGTTGGGGGATTCTTTCCAAAGATCCCTCAAAATCAATGAGCTCATGAATGTCCTTGATATTGGTAGACTTGTGACCTCATATGACGAAAAGGCATAACTTGATTTTTGAGTCTACCTTCAGGCCAGACCGAAGCATGCCCTGGAAAGAAATCAGTGCATGCCCTAAGGTGCAGTAAGCTCCTAAAAACCACCATAAGAATGGGCCATGCTCATTCAAACCCTGACAAACACTGGGTTTGTGCTTCTCAAGAAAATAACCCACTCATTTGTTTTCTTAACCAAAGTAAAGGGCAAAACCTAGTCAGACATACTGATAGAAACCATTTTGTCTCTTTTTAGGGAAATACACTAACGTTTTTAATTTTGCTTTTCATTAAAAAGAATTTGTAGAAGACAAATATGCATTTATCTTAACCAGGATTTCCAAAGGTCCCCTGACCTAGAGATTCACATAAATGCTCATCTGTTAGAAGCAGGCCTTTGCTGCTCTGACCTTTGAAGGGGATCTCCCAATAGTCAAGGCTGGGCACCTAAGCATCCCCCAGGCCAAGAGATCACGCTCTGCCCTGAGCCCAACGGGGCATCATGGGCAATGGCCTGTGAATCTTCCTTTTGGGCCCTCTCTCCACTGCCACCAGCCCCCAGTTTTCCTAGGTCAACTCTCTGGCACACCCATACTCGCTCCTAACTCACTCACTCAGTCCGATACTTACACAGTCTTATTTCCATGGCTGATTTAGTTAATCGCTTTTCTCCACAGGGAGAAGTCACCACTAAAGGAAGTGATCTGTGCAGAGTAGGAATGCTTCCTGGGACAGACTTCCCAGCCAGATCCCAGCAGGCTGGGATGACTGATAATCCAGGAGATGGCCATGCCAAGGAATAAATATAAACCAGTGCAGCAGGAGTTACAGTTTATTTACAAAGCAGATGCAAATTAACCTTTTACAGATCATCTGCTGTGCATATGGCATTCAGGACAACTTCTCTGAAGGTCAGGGCTAATTTAGAAAAAGTCCCTCTGTTCCTGGGACTTCTGTGCTGTGCAAGGTCATCCCCTGAAGCTAAGAATCCTGATGCTTCCCAGAGTGGCTCAGCCCCAGCCAGCGTGGAGGAGGGAGGTTCCTCCTTTTAGTGCCCTCCGCCGCAGCACAGCCTGGGTGTTGGTGGGGGGAGGCTGTCCTCTGTCTTTATCTGTGCATTGTCCTGGTAACCAGACAGAAATATAACCCTTCTCCACCTAGACCACCTGAGCATGGTTTATTTATCAAGATCTCCAATGTTTTAAACCATATGTCACCTCCAATGACTTCATGACCTCCTTTTCTGGGCACTATTGATGGGTAAAGCTTAGCCACTGGGAACAGGGCTTGATTGTAGCAGTGAGTAATAGAAGTCAGGTAAAAATGCATGATTTCAACACTTGCAAACAAATCGTGCCAATGCTTTGGGGTCTTGTCGTCATTTACAAGGTCAATTTTGGTGACAAGTCTATTAGGCTCAAGTTGAACGACCTGGTATGAAGTCTCTCTCTTTTTCTCTTTCTTTCAATGGCTTACTTACAAACAAACAAAAGCTTCTTATTGATGTATTCCTCAATAAGATAAATACCTGTGTTGTATTTATTTTCTAGATGCTGTTGTGGAGTAAAAGCCAAGTGCTTATCCAAAACTTTTGCTTTTAAAATTTTATGAAAGGATGAAGCTCCAGTGTATGATGCAGGAGGGGACCTGAGATTTAACAGTTCCTATCAGTGAGACATGCCAGCATCTACATGCCAGCATCATCCCCTCACTAAATTTCCTTTTTTTATCTAATTAAGTTCACATTTGAAGGAAAATGAAGTCTGTTGACAGAGATTGCAAAAAGGTGAAAGACGAATATGAGGATACCACTAAGTAAAGACATCTAGGAAACAAAAGAATAAGCATATGATGCAAACCAGCTTGATACAAAAATCCTCCTGGTACATATTTCAATTTCTCACCCAGATTTCCAGTTCGTCTCATCTTTCAGGCACAGGCCCCACTGAAGTCAGGCATGGCCATGAGACTTGCTTTAGCCAATTAAATATGAACAGAGATAACATGTGTCACCTCCACATAGAGGCACTAAGAAGGCGTTTGGAATTCTCCCAAGCTCTCTTCCTCTGCCAGAGCATACTCTGAGGCACACATTTTGGAAGACCGAGTTAAAAGTCGGTGAAGTCCCCATCCTAGTTCCCTGAGTCTGGAAGACTGAAAAGTCAGCCCCCAATTCTTCCCCTCCCTGAATCTATACTCCCTTGCCATATAAATTTGAGGGCCTCTCCTCTCTGACTCCGAGCTTAGCCAGATAACTATAATCAAATCCTTCCATCTGCCATTAAGAAAACTAACATGACCCCTAAGGAGAGAGGATGAAGATGTTTCAACACTGAAAATTAGCAAATAAAAGTGTATAAGTGAGTCTCTGTTCTGATTATTACAATCGCATTTCAGTTTTTAAGCTTAGCATTTTTCAACACCTTAAGTGACGATGATTAATCAACATAACAGCAAGGAATGTATTGTTCATTGAACTGTGAGGGGTTTCCAATTGACTGTAAAGACAATGTTTTTTATAAAAACTAAGAATTCCATTATATCCTAGATTCCTGTAATAGGCTATGATGACAACATATTTCAATTTTGATTTGGATATTTTAAATGCCTTCTGGTCACTGGTGTGCGTAATCAACACTCTCCAGCTAATCAGTAAGCTGAAATACAAAAATGGTGTGTCACCATGAGGGTTTAGTTCTAAACCCTCCTCTCTATAAATTGATAAAATGTTGCTTATTCAAGAATTATGTTAAAATGTGTGCTGTGTGTATATGCGTGCATCTTCATGTGAGGGCATAAAGACATGTTTTTAAAAAGCAACTATTTACAATCCACATTGGAACACAGACTAGGCTCATCACAATTATTTTCCAAAAGGAGCCAACACATTTTGAGATATGCCAACAGTCATTATCCAAGGATGCACAAAACAGGAGCACCATGTATCACCCCAACAGTAGCCTTCCCAAGTAAATAGCACAGAGCAAGAAATCCACTTCAACACCATTAGAGGGGAAGAACTGCAGTTTCTTGGAGGCTAAATTTAAATTTTGTCTTTTCTAGACATCAAATATAAGCCAAGAAATTACTCATATGCAAATATACATTGCAGTGCTGCATATGTATTCTTAGTAGAATCTTCAAGAAATAGGTCAGAGATACAACATAACTCTCAAGACACTGGAAAGCACACAAAGTGCATGAAAACAGGGCTTCCATCTTCCAGATTTTAGTTTCAGACTATCAGCTATCTGTGCAACGCCGAGGTCTCTCACAGATGCACAATACTATTACCTTGTTTTCAGAGGCAGACATAAAACCACAATTTTCTCAAAGAAGTTGACATAATGGCTATAGTTACAACACCAGTCACTAATTTCTCTTCATCAGTCAACTCGCCAAAGAATATCCGAATCAAGCCGTTATAAGCCAACACAAAACACTTATTTCAGGTTTACTTATAAAATAGCATCAACCTTAAGAATACTAATTCTAAATAATAATGAACACATGCATGGAGACCCGATTCCATCTCTGAAATAACCTTTTCAGAAGGTGAGCATGGCGTCTTGCACCCTGGAGATGCAAAGCCTACCTGAGACAAGTGAAACAGTGTCTTTCTCCCATGAGACAACAGTGATGTACGCCTCCACCGAGGAGGGGATAATGCACTTGAAGACCGCGACATTGCCTCTCATGGTTTTCTGGTCCTCCACACGGACTGTATAGGGCTCCCGTAAAACTGGAAGGCAGAAATAGACCTCAGTAAGGCACACAGTCAACAGGCTCGTTCTGAGAGTATCTCAATATCATATACGCATTGCAGCACACACGCATCCATTGCATAACATATCTTTCTGGAAAACAGTTAAGATGCCTTCATTTCATGTCTTTCATTGCCTGACTTAAGAAAACATTTACTCCCTTAACATCGCATGGTTCGGTGAGGTGGCTCATGCCTGTAATCCCAGCACTTTGAGAGGCCAAGATGGATGGATCACTTGCGCCCAGGAGTTTAAGACCAGCCTGGGCAACATGCCAACACCTTGTCTCTGGTAAAAATACAAAATATTAGCTGGGCATGGTGGTGTGTGATTGTAGTCTCAGCTACTCGGGAGGCTGAGATGGGAAGATTACCTGAGCCTGGGAGGCCGAGGCTGCAGTGAGCTGTAATCATGCCACTGCACTCCAGCCTGGGTGAAAAAAAAAAAAAAAAAAAAACACTCCACTCTATACCAGAGGGCCAGAGTATAATCTAAAACAGTTAACAGACCCCTTGAAGGTATCAGGAGATGGGAAGTAGCTTCATGAAAGAAAAGCTGCTGGCTCTGAAAAGTTATGATGATGGCAAACTGCCCTTGGTCCTCTAAGGACCGGGGAATATTTTTATCTGACTGCAAAAAATTAAAAAATTCAAGCAAGGCAATTTTATAGAGAAGCCTTGATAACACTGAGACTATCAAAATAATTTTTCATCAGTAAATTTTTAAATGACAGTTGCAAAGCAGTTTTTGGAAACATTGATCTTGCTTCCTGTTGCTTAGGGAAAGATGCTGATTAGATGGCCTACCCAAACACTTTCAATGATAGGAGCATCCCAGAAAGAGTGCAGAGTGGACTTCCACATCCTTGGTGTCTGGACTCAGAGGCAGGGTGGTGCTGGTGTTCAGGGCCTACCTAGCAGGCCCAACTGCCTGGGTCCAAATCCAAGCTCTGCCACTCCTGATTGTGGGGCAGCGAGCAAACCTTCTCACTGTCTATACCATGGGGATGATGTTGGTAACTTCTGCACCCTACAGTGACTGGTGAATCAGTTAATGTAGGTGAAAAGTCACCAGTGTCTGCTATGAGCAGGCTGGGCAAGGCCACACACACCAATAGCCAGAGATGGATCCCCAGGGTTGGGGAAGATCTGTCTCCAGGGAAATAAGACATTGGTGAATCTAGTCCAAATTACATGTGCCAGCCTTACTTCTTTAGAGCTTTGTTTTCCTCAAATTTAAAATGAGGGCACTGAGGTAGGAACCTCTTCAAGGTCTAAATCCTATAAATGTACGATTTTCTAAGATATCCACAGAGACAAACTATTGTCTAAACATCTAACCAACTCACTTAAAGAATTAGTCACTTATTGGATAAATATGTGCCAAGAAAACTGGCCATGAAAATGGTTTCTAAAGACACGAACACACCAACAAAACTAAAGGTGAATTTCTCAAGGGAAATCTCCCAGTAGGCAGAGGTGAGCTCTTTAGAAGAGGATTGTTCATATTGGAGCTAACCTTGTGATACGCTGAGCATTTTCCTAGTAAAGCATGTCTTTCATGAGAGTCTTGCTCTGCAGTTTCCATTTTCAACATTAGCTTTTAATTTTTTCCCAACTTGGAGAATTTCTTCATTTTTATATCAAACCAGAGAGATTTTTCCAAGTATTGAAATCTTCTCTGTAACCCCCATCACTGTAATCCCCATGCAGCACGAAGTGAGCGTCCAGGCAGCAGTTCCACACCTCCTACAGGAGGTCCACTAGGCAAAAATTCAGAGCACCCAAGAGGCTGACCTCAGCAACAATATCCTTACACCTGGAGGAGGGAACTCACTTTGCACAGGAAGACTCCTGCATAAGCAACCCTTCCTGGGGAGCTGAGGTCTATGGTAATAGATTAGAAAGAGACTACAAAGATACAGGCAAACTAATCAAACTCATCAGTAAGTGGGAATCTGGGCATGCTGAGAAGCAGAAGACAAAGAAGAGGAGGATGGAGGACAGAAGAGAGAGAGGGACTGGCCAACAGAGAGAGAGTCCACTGTCACAGGCATGGGGCATGGTTTCAGTTTAAGCTCCTGTGTCTGTGTGATGTTTGTTTCTTTGCAATAAAATCACTCTGTCTCTCCAATCCTTCTCCAGACTCCACTTCAAACATTGATAACTCAAGTAGGGGAATTTTCAATAGAAATCAAGGAAAGGGGTCAAGTTCTATGTATCAGCCAGGAATGTGAGAAGATAAAATATTCACCTGTTTACTGGGAGATACAGGAAATGCCTTCCCCCCAGGTGCATAGCCCCACACTAGATGGGATCACAGGAGCCATAAAAATGTGGGGTGACTGACTGGGGACATTCCTAGTGTTACCAACCAATGTCCAGTGTCCTAGGCAACTCCTCAGTCCCAGTGCTTACCCAGATATCACAGAGTGTTTTCTCTCCTCTAGCTATCCACCAGCCTCACCAGCACCAGGACACCTCAGTCATCATAATTTTAAACCTGTGTAACTTTTGCTTCTCCAACCTCCAGGTCAGCCCCAAGAAGCCCAGATCTTCTCAAAGCAGGGACAGCCCTGTGGTGCCCTGAACGCCAGCTTGCTCAGAGACAACAGGGATCAGAAGAAAACTGCACACTCCCCATCGCTTCTCCTTATTCCATTACTCATGCCACAAAGACAGACCATGCAGCGAGCCTGTAAAAAATATCTTAGAAAATACTTGGCATACAGGAGGTGTTCAATAAATATTTTGAGACTGAATATATAGAAACATAGAACTTCCATTCTGAGAGAACTTCTAATCCTTTTACAGAATATACATGTATGTACATTTGAATTTATAGCAACTATCTATAGTTTTTTTAAAATGCAAATTGGAGTTTTATTAAAGCTCTCCATCTTTGTAATAGAACATTGTTTGTTCCTGAGGCCCCCCATAAATTAAGATGCCCACATGGTTGTCTATGGGGATACACCTCTCAGAGTGCCATGTGAGTTTCCTGGGCTTATAGTAAGCCCGGAACACACTGGTGCAGCCTTGACCTTCATTCTACATCCAACTCCTGCTAACTCTGTAACAGAGACTAGGCTAGAAACCTGAGACACAGGCAAAAAAAAAAAAAATACACTTTGAAATTTGATGAACATTTGCATATAAGATATTTTCTCAGTACTGTGCTTCGTGTCATAAGTTAGGTTCTCCCCAGAGGCGGACCCCAAAAGGAAGAGCTTGGTTCAAGCAACTGAGGAAGGACACGATCCCCTGACAGGCAGGGAGAGTGTCAGCAGGGCAGGGAGGGAATCTGCACAGCAGGGATATGGTTTTAGGTGAACTCTCAGTCATGGACACGCACAGCCTTGCAGAGGAGCAGGGATTCCCTTTGTCAAAGCAGTCTGTCATTGGCTTAGAGCCGGCCTCAGGGGGATGGAATTCCCAGGCATTTCCCACTCTTCTTTCTGTGAAAGGTTCCAGTGTCCAAGCAATCCTCTGAATGCTGCCAGTTCACATTCTGCAACCAGTGCACAGACTCTGGGGGATCTGATTCAGCAATGCCAGTAGGGTCCGCTGCAATTATTTTAGCCTTCATTAAGCAAAATTTATCATCTTTTTTGGTAAAACATCAGAAGAAAGAAAATCTCTGATAATATAACTTTGAAACAAAATCAGGCCTATTTATTTAATCAAATATTTTTATTGCGATGTAAGAGTTGTTCATATTTTAGGGGTACACGTGATGTTTTGATGCCTGTATACAATGTATAATAATAAATCATAGTAATTAAAATATCAATCACTTCAACCTTTTCCCTGTGTTGGGGGCACTGTAAATCTTTTTTCTTCTAGCAATTTAAAAATACACAATAAATCGTTAACCATACTTTCCCTACTGTGTCAGCAAATGTTAGAGCTTATTCCTTCTATTTAACTGTATTTTGTACCCCTCAACCAACTAATTTTTATCCCCTCCCCTCACCTCCTCGCTTCCCAGTCTCTGGCATCCACCATTCCACTCTCTACCTCCATAAGGTCCAGTTTTTCAGCTCCCATATATGAGTGAGAACATGGAATGTGTGTGTGAGCCTGGCTTATTTCACTTAGCATAGTGACCTCCAGTTTCATCCATGTGGCTGCAAATGACTGGATTTTGTTCATCTCTATAGCTGAGCAATATTATATTGTTTATATATGCCACTTTTTCTTTATCCATTCATCTGTTGACGGACACTTAGGTGTCCATATTTTGGCTATCATGAATTTGTACTGCAGTAAAAATGGAGCACAGGTATCTCTTCAATATACACATTTCCTTTCTTTTGGATATATACAAAGCAGTGGGATGGTTGAATCATATTGTAGTTTTATTTTTAGTTTTTGAGGAACCTCTATACTGTCTTTTATAAAGGATTCACTACTTTACATTCCCACCAACAGTGGACCAGCAGTCCCCTTTCTCTGCATCCTCACCCACATTTGTTATTTTTTGTCTTTTTGATAATGGCCATTCTAACTGGGATGCGATAATATCTCATTGTTGTTTTAATTTGCATTTCTCTGATGATTAATGATATTGAACATTTTTTAATGTATTTGTTGGCCATTTATATGCTTTCTTTTGAGATATTACTACTCAGGTCTTTTGATCATTTTTAATTGCATTATTATTATTTTGCTGTTGGATTGAGTTTCCTTTATATTCTGGTTATTAATCCCTTGTTGGATGGTTTGAAAATATTAATATTCTCTCCCATTCCACAGGTTGTCTCTTCACTTTGTTGGTTATTTTCTTTACTGTGCAGAGCTTTTCTGCTTGAGGTAATCCTACTTGTCTATTTTTGCTTTTGTTGCCTGTGCTCTTGAGGTCTTACCCAAAAAGTTTTTGGCCAGACCAATTTCCTATAGTCTTTCACCAGTGTTTTCTTTTAGTAGTTTCGTAGTTTCATAGTTTCACAACTTAATTTAAATCTTTATATCCATTT